TTATTAGGAGGCCATGATTGGTAAGGGCCAATGGGAAATTTGGCTAGGACGCCGGGGTAACACCCCTACTCTTTTCGAGAAATGCCCTGGGATTTTTAATGACCACAGAGAGTCAGGACCTCGGTTTTATGTCTCATCCGAAAAACAGCGCCTGTTTTTACAGTATAGTGTCCCCGTCACTATACTGGGGCATTAGGACCCACATGGACTGCAGGGTGAGCGCCCCCTGCTGGCCTAACTAACACCACAACTATTTAATACCTAAATAGTTTCTGAATGTCCTTATTTTATTTTGCCGTCCTATACTAGAACTTAATTTCTCATAAAATAATTAAATCCAGCATGTTGTTTTTTTAAGTTTAACCTTTGATAAAAATACTACAAACGTAACCAGGAGTTCTGAACTCAGGACCGCAGGATGCAAGTCCCTCAGCTTTTCTTGGGCTCTTTAAAGTACTATGACAGGCTGTGGAAAAGGGAACAACTGATGTAGGTGAAACCTTAATTGGATCAATTTAAAAACCCTCCCAGGTACACAACTGTTTCTAATTTAAGGAGACATAAATGGCCTGTTGAAAAGCCAGACACCACTTAAACCTAAACTAGAACTCTAAAACCATAATGGGTTCAATTCTATTACTGCACTCTACAATTAATGCAGATGTAATCTCTATAGTTTTTAATTTAATATCTACAAAATAATAATAATAGTGCATGATATCTAGTTAAATACTGAGCATTTTATCCTTAGTGGCAATATTAGAACGTCAGACCTCGTTTTTAAAATTAATGCTGTAGATCTAACATACTTAGTCTGTGCCTGCCTATGTTCAAGTGCACACATCGCATTAGGGGTCTGTGGCTATTTTCTGATAAGGTCAGTTCTGCATGTCAAAATGTCATTAAGAACTTCAGTCAAAACCTAATTGCAATGCGACTGTGCCAGTGGTTCTCTAAAAAAAAATACTGTGCCCATTTATAAGCTTATAAAAACCAACAGCTGGATGGACTGAGTTCACAATACCACTTTAATTACGTGTTGGAAACATTACTGCACTAACAGAAGTCACAGAGAACTGAATGTGTCAAAATATCAAATGAATAAAAGCATTGCTTCACTGGCTTTACTCACCATGTTCAAATCCTGTCTCTGGGTTAGGGCTGTTCATCATCCTGTTCATGCCAATGCTTGCCAAAGGACAACAGTCCATGCGTGTTACATCCATAACTACTAAGGAAAGTTTAGCATATTAGATGGATGGAGTAAATGTCTTTGAACAGCACAGAGATGATTCCATGTTTCCATCTTCAATAAGGCAGAAAGGTTTTTCTGGGGGTGGCTTGTAGCTTGGGTGGTTTGTGCATGGCCCTGACAGGCCTCCAGCCAGGCCTGGCAATATGATCTCTGCCTGTTCCCTGCTCCAGGAGGTGAAACATCCAAGATTTGAAAAGTATTGTTGCCTGTATCATTGATGACCAATATGAGACTGGCTAGATATTTCATTTGTTATCACCACCACAAATGCAGAATACTTTTTCAGTTTTGCCCCTGTAAGTTATCCCCATAATAATAATATTCTTTTACCTTAATTTAGCTATTATAATTTATACCGTTTTTTGTTTCCATTTCTTGTGTCTCTATAACTAAATTTTTTAAAATGTACACAGGAAACTAAAACACTAGGCCACAAATCTTAATTTTGCATTACAAAAACTGAACCATTCAACACAGGTAGAATGATTCCCTGGAGCAGGGAAATGCATCATTTTAGCCTTTTACCTTGTGTTAATGTTTAACTAATTCAACAATTGTTAACTAATGTAACTAATTCATATATAAACAACAGCAAAAACATCAACCAAAACAATGAATAAGAAATGAAAAATATTAGCAATTAATAAACAGTACTTTCACCAACAATGATAAACAGCAGCATTTGTCACAGTTCGCCTCATAGCCAAAAAATATTGGCTCAAGTGTGCTTTATTTCTTTAATAGTGGGTGTATGGGTGCCACTTTATTTTAGTTAAAAAGAAATGTACATATCTTTGAGATTGGGCTATTTTTAAATATTACCCCACTCAATGTAATGGACATATAAATTAAGATGGTAAAGACTTTCACGATTCTGTCAGGGATGTCTTTACAGAAACTCCCAGTAAAGCACCAATGTTATTTCTTAATGTACAACAAGCACATGGTGCCATGAAGGAAACGACTCTTTGAACTGGAAAACAAGTGAAGCTGGTGGACAAGTGACCAAGGTGCCCCAAACGCCTATAACTACAAGAACGTTAGAAGAGGCAAAAATATCAACAAAACTCTGTGCCACTTTTACGAGTCTGGAAATACTGTCACTCCAGCTAAGCCACTTGCTCCCAGCACCTTCCCAGACAATCCGGGAGACTGCAAGCGGAACAATGCAGCCCAGTTCATGAGCCCACCTGGCGAGCTGACACCGCTTCCAACAACTCAGTGGCAACAGATTTTCTTAATTACACCCAAGGAAAAGACGCAGACACCTTCTCTAGTTACCCTACAATGCCAGCCAGACATAACCGAAAATTAAATCACATCCATGATTATAACATCTAGTCTCTAAAAACCTGCCAAGAAATACAAGGTTACCACAAGATGTCAAGTCCATTATGAAAAATATGAATATCGCAACCGCTTCTTAAACTGTGGTGGTGCCTTGTGAAAGGCTAGTAAAGAAAGACCGAAACAGTGACATACTAATTATGACGTGATACTGATACTCGAAGGGAAAACCACCTGTTACCAACATTTTTTGTAGGCACATGCTTTATCTAATTTGAGAGTGACCGCACAGCAATGTTTCCACATTTTATGCTTAGAGTGGATACAAAAGTTGGACAAGAGCAACTTTGCAGAAGTATACTTAAGTAAAATACATCTACTTTACACTTAGTCATTACACAATCAGCCATTAAACTGCCTTATTAATTACACCATCAGGCACACCTTGCTCTGCCCTATCTCTTTAAAAGGTATGGTTTTCAATAATAACGTTCACAGCATATAGAAACATTAAAACTCCCACAGTTATAATAAACCTCTATGTATATACTCCACAATATAATAATCTATTGTGAAACCATGTCATAGGACTGGTAGAAACCCTATTTGTAGGAGATAAAGCCATCTCATGAATCCTTTTCCAGTATTTTTGTGGTTGGTGGAGTTTTTAACTTCAAAGCAAACTCTGACTCCAGAAAGAAAGTGTACTGCTTGTGACACCAAAATGTGGTGATTAAACTTTCACAATCCTCAAACAGCTAAATATTATATTTAAGTTTGCTTCTGTGTGTTAATCAAAATATAATTTCCTCTAATCCCACATTGTTACAACATTCATATTCACATCATAATAAAAATAACCTGAAAAATATGGATATTAAATATGACATACTTTACACGGAACAGATATTAAAAGGAACTTCGGGCATCTTACTTTGTGACAAAGTAAGACAGCACTCTGCTGTAATCTACCATCAAAAAAATCCCCAACTTCTGGAAGATGTGGAAAATATTCAGAAAAACTTTATTTAAGGCAAAAAATTAAACTGCCATTAAAAAAATATAATTAAGTATTAAAGAAAACAGATAAAAGTTTAAAAAATACAAAAAATAATTTACACACCATGAACAAGCACACACAAGCTGCACTTAAACAAGCACTCTGTAAATATACTTTGATTTCACAAATTCATTGCTCTCGTATTTTAGCTTTTTGAAACCTGTAAACCTTTTCACAAATACCAGATGTTACAAACCTTTTTGTTCTTACTTGTAAACCCGCATACAGTTTTCCTACTTTGGGAAAACTGAGAGTGGACTATCAAATCCACTGTCCTGCTGAGAGGCCTTGATTTCTGAGAACAAACTCTTTGAACACAATTTATACAGCTTTTTATCTTCGGAGCCCGGAATAGGTTCTCTGTTTTTGGCTATGTCCCCATTGAGCCCAGGGTCTGGACAGATTTTTGGTCTGGGCTTGGAATGAACACTTGGGATTTCCCTACAAGCATTAAAATGTGCCTGGAGATCCTGGAGTTTTGCATTCCTCCGGAAACTGCGCACAGATTCGTCATCGGAATCGGAAAGAGGCAAGACGAAGGAAGGCACTTGTGATAGACATTTGCCTGCGGGCTCCGCGTCACCTCCTGCACAGAAGGACAAGCCAGTCTGACTTTCTACGCAGGTGCCTAAACTTGCAGAAGTCCAATCGCTTGAGCTGCCTTCATCTCTAACTGGGGTTTCTTGGATGACCCAAGGTCTGTTCACTGATTCAGCAACAGAGCACTGCTCTGCTTGGCAGGAGCCAAGTCCTTTTGAAGCAGGTTCTCTGGTTTCATTTCTAACAGTTATGTTTGCTAATGTTGTCTCAGAGAAATCGCAACCTGGGGTAAGCCGATATCCCTGACCGAAGCATGCGTATGCCGGAATCGGAATCGAGCCATGTTTGGGCATGGTGTCCTCTTTTCGAGAGTTTTCCAGCACAATACCGGCACTGCAGGCTTTTCTCTTTCCACTCCTTGGATGGGCAAAAGTGGCACATGGATCCTCATGGTGACCTTCACCCGATTTTCCGGTCATGCTTGGAATGGCATGTCTTGGACCCTCAAGTGCAGCTTCCCGAGTTCTGTCCTCGGAGAGTTTCAGAGCAGTACGAGGTGGAGCCTGGCTTTCCACACTTCCTGTACTGAAATTCTGGCTCTTGAGAAGGTTACTGCTGGCAGGGTGCTTCTGGCTCAGAGGAACATACAAGGCTTCTGCAAGTTTGCTGTTAGCTGCAGATGCCTCCACCTTTGATGAACCTATTGATAGAAAGGCAAAATACATTCTACATTAAGAACTAACAAAACACTTTCATCGACAGCTGTAGCACAAAGGTTCGCATCACTTACAGTGTGCTGTAAACAATTTCCCCCATCTTCAAAGCTCACTATGAGAGACAAACATTTTTGGTCACAAACCAACCATCATTAAACTAATCACCTGAATGAATAAGATTGGGTGTCAGAACCCAAAATGTCTTGGAGAAAAAAAAAGTTAAAAAAGCTTGCCAGGTAACCATAGTGTTTCATGAGCAGAAAACCTGCTATGAGCAACCCAAAAGCTCCCCGTCCAGGTACCTGACATTTTTCTTTTTCTTAACAATTAAAACCTGAGCTCCAAAAAACAATAAACCAACTTAATGGTCACCGACTTCATACTTCAAGGAAACAAAGTGATTATTAGTGTCAAGATTTGAAGTTTTACCAAAAAAAAGGGTTTGTTTGCCAGAGCTTTTAAGTTACATTGCTAAAGCAAGGTCAATACGAGGTTAAAGGTCAGGTGGGTAAGTGCCAATACCGGACTAATGAACAGAGTGGGAGGGCAGTAACACTTCTACAAGGAAAAGCTGAAAGGACACAGCAGACGAGAGAGATTACTTGGCCTTTACCCAGAACTACATCCGTTTTGTTGCCTTTCCTCTTGGGCACAGGAGTCTCCAGCACCTTTGCCATGGCAGCTAGTTTGCTGGCAGCGTTCATTATTTTCTTCTCAGCACTGCCGAGGAGACAAACAGGTAAGAGTTTGTATTTCTTCTGGCATTTCGAGCGGGCGGCTCCAGCCTAAGGCCGACTCTTACCCTTCTTTCCTTCTGCCGTCCTCCAGCAGCTCCTGCAGGCAGGACAGGTAGTACTTGCGCATCCGCCTGGCGGTGTCCTGCCGCTCACGCAACACCTCTGTTCTGATCAGCTCTGCAGCCCGCTCCTTGCTCTCCTGGATGTAGCGCAGCATGTCGCCTGGGAATTCAGAGCACGCCTGCACTTAAAAAAGCATCGCCGCGTCCGCTCGCTGAAAAGTAGATGCCTGCAGTGTCACAGCCGCGTACACAGATACAGCCGTCCGTGAACATGGATAGGATATGTGGACATATGGATCTCTGCAGAATTAACAATGAAACACAAAACCAGAGAACAACGTGGAAGCGCATTTAAAACCAAGAACAGGAGTCACTTCTTTACACAAAAGGTTGTGGGAGTTTGGAACAAGCCGCCTAGCCGTATTGTTGAAGCCAGTACCATGGCTTCTTGCTAGAAACAGCTGGATGAGGTACTTGGATTAATTAGCAAATGACCAAACAGGCAAGATAGACTGAACATTTTATACACTTCCATATTACTACTTGGAAGACAACTGTTATATTAATTTAGGTGAAGAATATGTGATTGAATGGAAGAGCAAGATAAAGGGGAAAACTGGCAGGAGTGAATATTAGTTATGTGTCTTTATTTAACCCAGCGGTCGCTGACACAATTCCCTGTTAAACAGGAAGGGAAAGTGTCTTGCAGATTTTGCTCCTACCTAATTAATCAATTATCCCATCAAACTTTTATTTTCTTAGTCATATACAGAATTTGTCTTAAATTTCTTTTTTACAGGCAATTAAGAGGTACAGTTGTGTATACAAACACTTTGGATCCTTATAATATTGCAATTCTGTGATTAAATAATTATTTTATAAATTGAACAAAACCCAAAATAGGCCCAGGATCCGAGTGTGAAAAGTTTTTCCTGCACACTGAGATTACCTATCACACCTTTAATATTTGATAATTCGTGAGATAACCATGTTTCTCTAAGGTGTTTTAAGAAACCAGAACAAATTTATTTTAATTTCCAGATAAGTTAACTATTACCACTGCCAATAAACTCATACTATTAGAGGCAAACAGAGATAATACAATCAATATACCTTAACAAAACCTATTTGGGTAGGTTTAAATTCTCTACTAAAGAGTAAGAAAGTTAATACAAGCGCAAAATTTTTAAAAATCCAACTGAGAACGAGAGTTCACCTTGCAAAAAAAGTTTAAAAGAAGCAACAGACACCTGGAAACCCATGGGTATAAATGTTATAAAAAACATACAAGCACTGACCTCGGATTTTTTCAACCGCGTTCATATACTGGTCCCTCATCTCCTCCAGAGCAGCCTGAGTCCTGCTGTCGGGTACACTGTCTGTTTGTGACCTTCAAATGAGAATTCTGATGTCAAAGCTCACATCCATGAGGACTTTTTGTGTGTCACTGTACTGCTGTATTGTTTAAGCTACCAGAAAATGAATTGTTAGGAGGTGCAGTTCTAAATGGAGAAAAAAATTCCTAGCTTGAATATTTTAAAAACATTTTTTCCCCCACAGAGTATTACAAGGTTGTGGCATTTAATATTTAGATTAGTAAGTTAAGTACTACAGCAGCTTAAAAAACTTTAATCTAATGTTTTTAATTAATAGGTTGTTGCATTGTATGTTTTATATACAAGAACTTGACACTTTTTTCTGTTTACAGGTTTCTTTGCAGCAAATACTGAGGTCTCAGCAAAGCTGCTGTTCTCATACCCACTTTCATAAAAGTTTAATAAGGAAAGTTACTGAAAGCATCTTCTTTCACGTCTCCCAGGGTCTTCAGTCCTCCTCATGTTTTCAGCTTTTTCCTTTTTGATAGCCTCCTCATAACTGTCTGCAAGGGAAAGGGCGAGAAGAAAAATCTTATCATACTGGTAGTCAACATCAACTAACGCACAATTTAACTATAATACTGCCTTGTTTTCCAGAAGGTTTCCAAGAGGTTAGAGCTGGATGCTGAGATTGTAACAGTAAGTAAATAAGTAACAGTGTATGTTTAGATATGCATGCATACACACTCACACTTGTTGCTTACTTATTATCTGAAATACAAGCCTTATTTTACTGCTTCCACGCATCCATTTGA